GAATGCTGTTGTTGGCTCTGAATATGTATTGCGAGAAACGAAAGAGAGATTCGGAAATATTGATAATTTTGCGATATACTCCCGGCCATTGTTTGTGTTATATTGCATCTTAGGCCTACTCGACTGTTTTTTTTTTATTATTCAACATTACCTTGGATTTTGATATGTTCCCTTCAAGCTGCGAGGGAGCTGTGCTTGGGAAGTGTTCTCTTCATTTGTCTCCCAAGCTGTGTGCTCATTCCCGAGTCCTCATTGAGAATAGTTAACTTGGCGTCGGCTGAAAGTGACTTCCCTCTGTTTGGGAATGGGCGTGGAGGATCACAGGTCAGGTGGGAAGTGCGCTAATTTTGAGGAATAAATAACATGTGTAGGAAAATGGAAGAAAGAGAATTGCAGGAGGGAGATCGCGTTTGGGACGCAGCCATCAGGGGAATCGAAGAAGCTAAGAGCCGAGACGAGGCGAGACACGAGACACGAGGGAAAAGAGACTCGACAGCTAGGGACGATAAACGAGACGAGACGAGATGACTCAGGGGACGAGAGACGGGTGAGACGAGGCAAGGCACGAGAATCGAGGAACGAGACACGAGGTGAGACGAGACGAGACGAAATGCAAGACACCATACGAGATGAGACGACACAAGAGACGAGTAACGGGTGAGACGAGACGAGAGACGGGTGAGAAGAGGTATGACACAAGAAACGAGGGACGAGACTCGAGATGAGACGAGACAAGATACAAGACATGATTCGAAATGAGACGAGACGTGATAAGGGACAAGAGACAAGAGGAGAGACGAGAGACAAAGTGACGAGACAAGGGACAAGAGAAGAGACAAGCAACAAGAGACAAGAGACGAGGCGAGACAAGGGACGGGTAACGAGACGAGACAGACATCGAAAGAATGTAGACCGACAAAGAATAAGAGAGAAAAAAACGGTGATAAATGTGCGCATAATCAACGAGCCGGCCTGTGGAACGCCGGACCAGCCCCCCCCCCCCCCCCCCCCCGCGCCAGGGCTAGAACAAACCAGCCGCAGGACAACCCGGACAGGACCTGCTGCGTCGGGTCCTGAAGGCCAGTCCTGGAATGACGGCTGCGCAGGCGGGGAGACGCGCCGTTGCGAAGAGGACGAGCCTTTTTCGTGTTCCTCTCTTTCTTTCCTTTCCTTGTTCTTGGTCTCTTCTTTTTTCTTTCTTGTTCTCCTTTCTCTTTTCTCTGCTTCTCTTCTTTTCTCTTGCTCTCCTTTCTTCTTCTCTTGCCTCTCTCTCTCTTCCTCTCTCTCTGCCTCTCTCTCATCTTCCTCTCTCTGTCTCTCTCTCTCTCTCTCTCTCTCTTCTCTCTCTCTCTCTCTCTCTCTTCTCTCTCTTCTCTCTCTCTCTCTCTCTCTCTCTCTCTCTCTCTCTCTCTCTCTCTCTCTCTCTCTCTCTCTCTCTCTCTCTCTCTCTCTCTCTCTCTCTCTCTCTCTCTCTTCTCCTCTCTCTCTCTCTCCTCTTCTCTCCTCTCCTCTCCCTCTCTCTCCTCCCTCCTTCCCCTCCTCCTCCCTCGCCCTCCCTCCAACAACACACACACACACACACACACACACACACACACACACACACACACACACACACACACACACACACACACACACACACACACACACACACACACAATAGGCGAGTAATTAAATGATGTGCAGTTGATAAATTCTAGCGATCAGGTCGGTCAGATGGTAATCAGATGAAAATGATAAATTATACAAATGAATTCGGAGTGATTACCAATGTCAAAGTTCATACTGATAGCTAATTAATTAGATACGCAGGTGGCAAGAATTCGGACGCGCTGGCTCACTCATTTATCCATGCATTTGTTCGTTGGTTCATTCCATTCATTCACTCATTCACTTGGTCGCTCCCTCGCTCTCATCCATACTCATTCTCTCTCTCTCTCTCTCTCTCTCTCTCCTCTCTCTCTCTCTCTCTCTCTCTCTCTCTCTCTCTCTCTCTCTCTCTCCTCTCTCTCTCTCTCTCTCTCTCTCTCTCTCTCTCTCTCTCTCTCTCTCTCTCTCTCTCTCTCTACTCTCTCTCTCTCTCTCTCTCTCTCTCTCTCTCTCTCTCTCTCTCTCTCTCTCTCTCTCTCTCTCTCTCTCTCTCTCTCTCCTCTCTCCCTCTCCCTCCCTCCCTCTACTCTCTCTCTCTCTCTCTCTCTCTCTCTCTCTCTCTCTCTCTCTCTCTCTCTCTCTCTCTCTCTCTCCTCTCTCTCTCTCCTCCTCCTCCTCCTCCTCCTCCTCCTCCTCCTCCTCCTCCTCCTCCTCCTCCCTCTCCCTACCCTCCCTCCCTCCCCCTCCTCCCCTCCCTCCCTTCCTCCCTCCCTCCCTCCCTCCCCCTCCTCCCCTTCTCCCTCCCCTTTCCTCCCTCCCTCCCCTCTCTCCATCTCTTTCTCTCGCATATTCAGATATGTATAATAAAAAATGTCTGTCTGCAAAGCTCATAAAGATGGAAACACGATAAATTATTCGTTCCCATTCATACCTTTCTACAGTTACTATATTGGACTCCATTCATCACCCGCATGCATTGCACCGATTGATAGCTTTATGGAACAACTGATTTAATCTCTGAACAAATCCGTATATTAGGTAAAAGGTCATTCAGAGACACAGGAAACCGATTTATAAAGTTT